ATTAATCTAGAATAGATAGAAGGATACATAGATAATTTGCCACATACACAGAGTTATCAAGTAAGATGTAGTGAAATGATTCGGTTGCTCAACCAAGTTACTTTGCAAGGGTTGTAAGTGATAAGTGATCAGACCAAAACGTTTTAACCTAGCTATCGTTAAGTTGTTAATTCCAATTCAGACAAACCTTTGGCCCAACAGTTAACAGTACGCTAACTTGATTAGGATACAAACCAAAGTTTATTTTTACTTACCGACATGGCAAACAATCACTTGCTTTCAAAATTGTAGTACTCCTGAAAAGAAGTATAATATAGTTAGGAAAGTCTGCTGATGTGATGGCTGGCTTGCTGTCACTGTATTTACTATGAATCAATAATAAAACTTATTCATATTACAACAGTTTATCATCACATTACATTATCTAAACATGTATAACTTCTTTGCATATAAGCAATGACTAAACAACTTCAAACTTTTTCAATATGGAGTATTTACAACTGACAGAGTGACAATCAAATCTCATATTCTTTACAAGCAGAATAAGATTTACAGGATGTAACGTCACACATAAGCACTGAAATAATATATTTTTCATATTTACCCTTAATCCAAATAACAACATGACATTGGTGATATAATAATGCAGTTAGTTGGTATAGTATAATAGTAATAGTATACAAAACAAAATTCTCAGTTGAGAATCTAACGTAGTTACTGATACGAAATTCACTCAGCCAAATGTAACACACAACTCAGTTGAGACATTACAGGGGAGTTAAATAACCAAATATGTAAGTTGAAGATAAATCATAGCTCTAAAACAACATCATCAAACCTTATTGATTCGAATTACATCGATATTTTGACAATGCTAGTCAAGTGATCAGCCGCACCGCACTGACCTCATTACAAACTATTATTAAAGTGATAAGAGCTGCTTTCAACAGGTAACATCTCATTCTCATACAACTCATCCGTATTATGTTGAACAGTGTTTACTAAAATACTAAAACCGCAAGTGTGTTTTGTGCATTTTGTTTCGCAGTTACCTTCGTCTTCTAGTCTTCTCTTCTCGATGCTTCTTCCTGTTTTTAAATGTTAATGAGAATGCGTCCAATTTGGGCATGGGCGTGGTGGCTTCTGACGTCACACTTGGATGTGGTTGGGTTGGATGTCCACCGTAGGATGCAGCGAGAGGCTACTCGGGTTGGCGGGTTGGCGGGCCATGCGTTAAATGGTTGTACGTAAAAAAATGGTTCAGAAGATCGGGCCTTTTTTTATGTACAATTTTCATTTAGACTTGTAATGGAGAAGTCAATCTCTCAGCTGCTGCGAGAGGCGGCCGCAGCTCTGGAACAATCAACATCAGTGTCTCCATCGAGTGCTCCTTCACCTGCGATGATACGCACAACTGACGTTCAGGGTGAGGATTCGTTATTTTATTTATATAATATTTAATGATCTAATGCGCATAATATATAGCCTACTTGACCAATAACCATATATCTTTCTCGGACCTGTAAAATGTGTCCGGTCGGGATTTTGAAGCTGGCTATAAAGGTCCCAAAATTGGCGTGCATATAGGCTACACGTTGTGTATTTGCTAGTAGCAAAAGTAGTTCAAATTGCTACTGAACACCAGTTGTCATGTATTAATGTGTTCCTACCTGATTATTCTGTTATAATACATTTACAAATACAAATCCTGCTTTCTTCTTTCTATGGAGGGAACTGTGTAAATGAGACCACCAGACATGCTTTGCTTCTCGTAATCAGAAACATCAATAACTTAAATTCATGCCCAAACTCTGTTAAACAAAATTGATAATAATATAACCGAACACGTGTCTCATAAGAATGTTTGACAGCTGGGTTATTTAACATACATTGTTATTTTTGCAAAAATATTTACTGTGTTCAAAAATTAAAGTTATTTTCTTCCTTTAAAATGTTTCCAAGGTGCACGTAGTGAAGTGAGCAGGTTGTTTGCCCCATATGCACAATCACGAGTGGGTATACGGAAGAGGTCATGCAGTTCAGCTCTGCCAGCAAAGAAACCGAAGACGATAACATACACCCACAGATTTTTTTGCTTGCCTAAAAGAAGAGACTGTGAGATTCCAAACCCATCTGAGAAGCTGAAGCTGGAGAAAGCTGATCTGGGGGGGGAAAAAATTGTTTTCCCAGGTAACTTGTAACATTGTAGAATTACGTTTCTACGTAATCTATTTTCGTTTTCTAAACGTGTCTATTTTATTTTTTAAAAGACATGCTGTACACATTTTGCTTGCCTTTCAGATAAATATTGTCAGCCAGAGGATTTTACAGATTACCTCTATAAACAGTTTCCGAAGCTCAGAGATGCTGGAGGCTATGAACTTCTTAAGACTCGAGGTGCTACCCGCTCAAAGTCATTGGAGATAATCCCTTGTCCTGACGAAGGATACTCGGCAGAGTACTTGAGCAGCAGTGCCCTTGGCATAGGAGTTAGCATGATTTTCATCAGACCTCTTCAGAAAGATCTAAGCTTGGAGGTATGTAAACTGCATAAATAAAGCATTGAAAATGGCTGTTAAGATTTGCCATGTCTGACTTTTTTGTTTGTTTACATGGACAAGTACTCAGAGGGAAAATCAGGACAAGGGCCACAAGTACCTTGTTTGTACTGCCAAGTAAAAATTTATGTTGCTGAAATGCAGAAACATGTCGACCAATGTGAAATGTAAGTGATGCATGGAAAACTTTCTAAACAATAGAATGTTAAAAAATACTAAGTATAAAAGAGTTTTTATTATTTTATAGAGTTCTACCTTCCTTTTTTCTACATTTATTTTGCATTTCCTTTTTTAACAAATCAGGTTGGAGGGAGGGGCATGCCAAATCCCCCAAAGCAGCAGCGAGGAATCACCTAGAGACAGCATTGAGGAATTAGCTAGAAGCAGCAACGAAGAAATAGCTAGCAGCAGCAGACAGCAAACCTTCAGCAGCAGCAATGAAGAAATAGCTAGCAGCAGCAGACAGCAAACTTTCAGCAGCAGCAATGAAGAAATAGCTAGCAGCAGCAGACAGCAAACTTTCAGCAGCAGCAATGAAGAAATAGCTAGCAGCAGCAGACAGCAAACCTTCAGCAGCAGCAATGAAGAAATAGCTAGCAGCAGCAGACAGCAAACTTTCAGCAGCAGCAATGAAGAAATAGCTAGCAGCAGCAGACAGCAAACTTTCAGCAGCAGCAACGAAGAAATAGCTAGCAGCAGCAGACAGCAAACTTTCAGCAGCAGCAACGAAGAAATAGCTAGCAGCAGCAGACAGCAAACCTTCAGCAGCAGCAATGAAGAAATAGCTAGCAGCAGCAGACAGCAAACTTTCAGCAGCAGCAATGAAGAAATAGCTAGCAGCAGCAGACAGCAAACCTTCAGCAGCAGCAATGAAGAAATAGCTAGCAGCAGCAGACAGCAAACTTTCAGCAGCAGCAATGAAGAAATAGCTAGCAGCAGCAGACAGCAAACTTTCAGCAGCAGCAACGAAGAAATAGCTAGCAGCAGCAGACAGCAAACCTTCAGCAGCAGCAATGAAGAAATAGCTAGCAGCAGCAGACAGCAAACTTTCAGCAGCAGCAATGAAGAAATAGCTAGCAGCAGCAGACAGCAAACTTTCAGCAGCAGCAATGAAGAAATAGCTAGCAGCAGCAGACAGCAAACCTTCAGCAGCAGCAATGAAGAAATAGCTAGCAGCAGCAGACAGCAAACTTTCAGCAGCAGCAATGAAGAAATAGCTAGCAGCAGCAGACAGCAAACTTTCAGCAGCAGCAACGAAGAAATAGCTAGCAGCAGCAGACAGCAAACTTTCAGCAGCAGCAACGAAGAAATAGCTAGCAGCAGCAGACAGCAAACCTTCAGCAGCAGCAATGAAGAAATAGCTAGCAGCAGCAGACAGCAAACTTTCAGCAGCAGCAATGAAGAAATAGCTAGCAGCAGCAGACAGCAAACCTTCAGCAGCAGCAATGAAGAAATAGCTAGCAGCAGCAGACAGCAAACTTTCAGCAGCAGCAATGAAGAAATAGCTAGCAGCAGCAGACAGCAAACTTTCAGCAGCAGCAACGAAGAAATAGCTAGCAGCAGCAGACAGCAAACTTTCAGCAGCAGCAACGAAGAAATAGCTAGCAGCAGCAGACAGCAAACTTTCAGCAGCAGCAACGAAGAAATAGCTAGCAGCAGCAGACAGCAAACCTTCAGCAGCAGCAACGAAGAAATAGCTAGCAGCAGCAGACAGCAAACTTTCAGCAGCAGCAACGAAGAAATAGCTAGCAGCAGCAGACAGCAAACTTTCAGCAGCAGCAACGAAGAAATAGCTAGCAGCAGCAGACAGCAAACCTTCAGCAGCAGCAATGAAGAAATAGCTAGCAGCAGCAGACAGCAAACTTTCAGCAGCAGCAATGAAGAAATAGCTAGCAGCAGCAGCAACGAAGAAATAGCTAGCAGCAGCAGACAGCAAACTTTCAGCAGCAGCAACGAAGAAATAGCTAGCAGCAGCAGACAGCAAACTTTCAGCAGCAGCAACGAAGAAATAGCTAGCAGCAGCAGACAGCAAACTTTCAGCAGCAGCAACGAAGAAATAGCTAGCAGCAGCAGACAGCAAACTTTCAGCAGCAGCAACGAAGAAATAGCTAGCAGCAGCAGACAGCAAACCTTCAGCAGCAGCAATGAAGAAATAGCTAGCAGCAGCAGACAGCAAACCTTCAGCAGCAGCAACATCAGACAGGAAATTGATCAAAGTAGAGAAGCGAGGGACAGTGACAATGAAGGTGATTTAGTTGATGTTTCCTGCAATCTGTACAACAATAAGGTTATTTTCTCTATATCAGAGCATAGCTAGAAAAAAACTCTCAAAATATGACAATGTCAAAGGTCTTGTGAATAGTGCCTACCAGGTTTTTATTAAATTGTATTTATTTTTTTGTTTTAAAATTTTGTTTTTTTTTCCTTTCTTCTCAGAGTGGAAAGTTGAGCCAAACTTGTTTCGGGCAGCACTTCAATACAGAAGGAGACTTTTGGAAAGGGCTGAAAGTTTATCTGCTGAAAGTCTAACTGCAGGACTGAACCTATGCAGCAGTACACAGGAAAGAGAAAGAGAAATGTTTACTTTCTATAAATCTCAACCTGGCAACTGGGCTCGTCCATTTTTCGTCATACTAAGGGGTAAAAATTAATAGTTTTCTTTAAATATGAACACATTTTATACAAGCAATCTGTATGGCAATATCACTGTATGTTTAATATTGTGGATACACTGCATAGATATTAATATTCTTTACGTTATCTCAGGCGATGCAGCAATTGGAGATGGTGTGAAACGCTACTTTCTATCCCAGGTTATTTCACGTGTGCAGTTTGGGTTTGCCCTAGATTTTGGTAAGTAATTGTAATCTAAAACATTACGTAATTAAAGGGATGGTTTAGCCAAAATGCACATTCTTTCAGTACTCTGTCTCTTTGATTTCAATTTATGACTGTTTCTATCATAAGAGAAAATTGATTGGTTTGGAGTAATTTCTAAAAGAATTGCTATTTTTTTGGATGCAATATCTATTTAAATGGAATTACACATGACAAAACTTATAAAAATGTGTTACCTTGGAACTTGTATTGAGCCTAAAAAAAAAGTGTTATTTTTTCTCACTTTAGACAACTGTGGCAAAACTTTATTTTTCATCGGTCAAGAAGACCATTTGGTGCCATCAACCTCCCGAACTCTGCTGGATAGTGACCTGTTCCGCATTGTTGGACGCATGATTGGCCATTCATTCCTTAATGGTGGTCCCTTATTGACTGGACTTAGCCCTGCTATGTTTGGAATGATAACTGGACAAATGAACGAGACCATCATAATTGAACTGGAAGATTGCCCTGACACAGATGTAATTGACATTGTCCATCTGGTATGTACAACATAAAACCTACCTCTGATCATTGTTTTGTGCAAGTAAAAATGACTGAAAATGAAAATAATTGAACTAGATTTTTATATTTTTTACTAACATTGATTTTATTACAGCTTCAAAGACCAAATACACTTTCTGATGATGAGCGTGCAAAAGTGAATGACCTGGCTGTCAGTTGGGATCTGCCTCGGGTCACTGTGGAAAACAGACTGTGGCTAGCCCAAAGCCTTCTTCATCATGCTGTAAGTTTAACCTTTGTAGCGATTGTACGCACGTATAAATATAATTAATTATTATTCATAACGGATTATGATCAATAATTAATAATTGAATTATTTTCAGAATTTACTGTAGCAAAATCAATAGTATGATCAGTTTATCAGTTCATCCAATGAACGGAAAGCATAAACAATTATTAATTCTAGGAAATATAATATCTTCTTGGCCAAGAAAGACTAATTCCCAGCTAACAGCTAAATTAAGAAATAAATCAAGGGTCAAAGCATAGGTAACTTAGATCGAAGTTCAAGACAATAAATCGGTAAGCACATATCACAAGTAATGCTTCTCTTTTCAAATACAAACAATACTTTATTGATTATAAGCCTATGGCTAACACACAAAACAAATATCTAACACAAACACACGCACACGCATTCATACAAGTTGAAGAAAGACAGAGAGTGAGGAAGAATGAGTTTTAGGAGTTAGATGGTGAGATTCCCAAGATTCTATGCACTTATAAGACACAACCTGAACGAAGCATCAATAATTAATTTCACCCTTTTATCGTTTCTTAGGCGGGTGATTCAATTTTATATTAAACACCAGTTAAGAGTCTGGAGGCGTTACTTGCTTGTCCTTTGCGTTGCTTTGAGGATTCTCCTTTTTGTCGTAAAGGGGGTTTCCCGGTCCGTTGGTTGGCTGGCTGTCTCGTGCCTGGATAGATGTCTTGGGGCGGCCAATCACGTGGTGTGTTGGCGCGGATGAATGAAAGTCTTTGAAGTTGAAAGCTGGTTTTGCAGTTGAAACGTTAAAACGAAACTTTGCAGCAAAACTTAACTTAGAACCGAGACTTTTAACGGAAAAGAAACAACTAAGAAAAGAAAGAAAGGTGTGACGAGACGAGATGGCTTGGCTGAATCTGTTTTAACCCATATCTTGATTTGGGTCATTTGTCTCTGCGTCTACATGGTTACCACAACCATCGTCGGGCATCACCAGAGAGCAAGAGCGCATCACAAGAGCGCAAGAGCGCATCACAAGAGAGAGGATCACAAGAGAGAAGACCAGAGCGTTCAGAGAGAGAGCTTCTGTGTTCGGGTCTAAGATTTTAAACTCAAAATGTTTGTCCCGCCTCCAGGAGGAATTTGGAATTCGGACAATAAGATACTATATGATTATTTGAGAAGGGGGTCTTTTCTACCCCCCCCCCCTTCCTCTCAACGGGAATCATGTGTCATCTGTGGTCTCATTGTTCTGCAGGCCTTAGCAGAGAGAACAAGAGGCGACAGTTTAGACATTATTACAATTATAAGAACATAAACATTTTTACACAGATTTCAATCAAGCCATCTTTTGAATTAAAAACATACGAGCATAATGATAGGAAACACGCACAATTTCACTCACACACCTAATATGTATAACAATTAGGAATTGTATGGCATTTAAGCATATGAGAGACACACACATATATTGTAGAAACAACATATAATCAAAGTCCATCGAGAATTGTCCTGGGAAGAGTTTTATGGATTTTGATATGTAAGAAAGTCCTTATGTGTGTGTGTGTGTGGGTATCCTTATGGTCCGCATCTGTCACATCCGTGGTGTTTACCACGTGAGGGTTCAGTTCGCAATAATTGTCTTCAAGACAAAGGGTATTTTGTATGCAAGTCCACTTTTTCAGCCTTAAGGAGTTATAATAATTGATGAGGGGAAAACTAGCTCGGGATCCTGAATGGTTCAGTCTGTTTAGTCGCAGGGGTCAGGTGACTCCTTGTTAGGGCCTCTTGTTTCAATATTTCTGAACAGATCTGTTCTTGCCAAATTATAAAACATTGACAACATTCTTCCTTTAGTTAAGCAACAAAAGGTCTTCTTGGCTCATAGCCTCAGGGATAATTTGGAATATGCAGCCCCTTGTGTTTGATTATGTACGAACGCTTCCCTCGTGTTTGGTACATTCTCAATGTTGCTACATATCCCCCCTTCGGTCGATGATGGGTTGAGGAGAAGACATCATTGAACGCTGGAGAAACGGGTAGAGGAAGCAAACACACACAGCAAACAACAAGACAACACCTCCATGACTGGTCACTTTACTGGTGCAGGGCATTAGATTATCTAGGCCTAAACAGGTTCACTCTCTCAAAATAGTCAATCACGTTGAATAAAGTTTAGTTCAATTTTAGGACCGTTATTCTAGTTTGTTTTGGTACGGTAATTGATCAACTTTGTGACTAAATTTGATTTGTTTGTTTTATTCTCTTCTAAATTGTTCTAGGTTTAGACCAATTTACCTTTCAATTTGTGATACGAATGATGCAGGGAGTTCTCTGGCTCACATTCGTTTTAAGGTGACTTACAAATATAGGAGTGGTGTGTCAATCCTATTATTGTGACCTTGACCCTTATGGGGTGGACAGGCATTTTACCTAATAAAAGAAGAAGGAAAGGAAGGAAGAAGTAAAACAAAACAAAGCAGTTGAGTGTTCCTGATATGACTTATAACTATGGTTGCGCAGCTAAGGTGTCAGGTATCATGATGTAATGAGAGGTGTTCTCAGGTGTACTTGTTGGATGGGTAGTTACCATGTTTCCTATGGTAAGTGTAGCTAAGTTGTTAAGCTAGTTTCTGAAGTTAGTTTCTACCTGTGGGGGAAAACATATTTGTTGAATGTTTTGCACGGTAGAGGTGGTTAACTTCTGTATGTAAGTGAGTATGTTAGGGGTGTCGTGTAGTGCATGTATGTATGTATGTATGGTCAGATCTGTTTCAGTCTGTTTTGCTCCCCCCTTTGCTTGATGGCTTAGCTTTGATGAGCTTGTTGCATCTTTGCCTTGGACAAGGGATCTTCTGTGATCTGCTGGGGGTCAATCCAGTAAGGCAGGAAGTTCTCTGGCAGACATTGGGAGGTAGTTTGGCAAGGATGTGTGAAGATGTAGTGCGAAACTTGGTCTCCGTTGTTGCATTCCTCCGATGGTGCCTTCTGGTTGTGACAGACTTTCTGACCTTCTGTGCATACTGTTGTTGCTGTAGCACACACGTGGTTCTTGAGTTTGGAGCTCGTTTGGTGGTTTCTTTATGAGTGATGGGTAGCCAGGATGGTGTTTTCTGGTACCTCTGGGTGTTTGTCAGTGGTTGACTGTGAGAGGCCACTTTGTTCTGTGTTGTTGTAGAACAAGTGGTCGTCAAGTTCGTTATGAAGGTGTATCAGATGAAACGGTGGTCTTCCGTTCCATCGCCATCCTGTTCGTCATCCATGTTTACCTCATTTCCGATGAAAACTTTCAGTTGCCTCATTAGTTGCTCCGTGTCTTCTGAGGGTAAACTGTCTGGTTCTTGGGCATACTCAGTGCTGTGTTTAACTGAGTGGTGCCAAGGTGGGTTTCGTTGTTGAGTACCCACATGGAGTGCTTTTGGATGCCTTGGTTGATGGCCTTTGGATGTCCAGTTAGGTTTCCAGTGGTTTCCTTCTTGTGGGTTACTTGAGAAGCGTGGCTGGTCCCATGGCATTTCCATGCGGTTAGTGTGGTAGGTGTCAGCGACATGGGAGTCACGTTCTCTGTGCTCCTTACGAAGGACTGTGGTATTGTCATGCCACTGGGTGTCTTCCAGTGCAAGGCTTGTGTCTTGGCTGATGGAGTTTGAAACTGTGGATGTTTTCAAACCTTTCTTTGAGTTCATCTTTTGTTTGATGTAGGCCTTGTGTGTCAGGTCACGTAGCTGTTGAATTGTCATTGTGCCTGGGCAGGCCATGATGCCAAGATGATGACTCAATCCGGGGTGCAGGTTTCTCAGGAAGAGGGTTTTGAAGTTCACATCCTCTTCAAGTTCAGGTTTGTTATGTGCACCTAAGTAGGCTTGTCGAAAGCGGTGGTAGTAGGCTTGGGGAGTCTCTTGTCGACCTTGTTTGGTTTCCATAGCGATTAACACACCGTGTTCCGACTCTGGGCCTGTGAATTCTTTAATCAGTGTCTCACATAGCAGCTGGTAGTTCGACTTGACATGAGCAGGTTGTCTGTCTAGGAAGCTTCGTACCTCTGGACTGGATGTGGATCTGAGGAGGTAGAATCTGTCTCTGTCAGTCATATGTGGTCTCACCTCTAGGTGGAAGTTGATATCTCTGATGTAGGTCTGGATGTCGGGACCCTCTGTGGAGTTCGGGTTGAACTGAGTGATATTCTTCACCAGCTGGTTGAGATCTTTAAAGGTCATCCCCTGTGCAGCTTTGGAGTCTGCCTGGGTGAGCTCTCTTCGTTTGTTAGCAGGGAAGAGTTCTGTGGTGAAGGCCGGTGACGTTTTGGGTTGTGGCCATTCACTTCTTCCGTTGTATGGCAGTTCTTGGATGGAGGACTCTGTTCTGCTCAGCAGGGGTGATGCTGAGGGAGGTCTTTCCCTTCTTGGCTCTGGTTTCTGTTGGAAAATGTGCTGGAGTTCATCTCTGACCGCGTAGAGCTCGTCGTTGGCGTCATCTCGCTGTTGGGTCAGATGGTCCATTTCAGCGCTGCACCTTTCCAGGTGGTCTTTCAGAGCATTAATTTCAGAGTTCTTATCTTTAATGTCAGCTTTGGCTTTCTCTAGCTGATGTTCAGCAGACTGGAGTTGGTTTACCAGGTGCTTTTGGACAGTCTTTAATTCTAGTTTGTCACGTTCAGTGACTGCAAGGGCTTCTTGGAGCTTGTCAACTTGTTTCTTTGTTTCTTGCTCCGCTTCGTCAGGCACTTTGAGTTTGTCTTGAGCTTTCGCTTTGAGCTGGTCTGTGCAGTGTTGAGTGTGCATCAGCTCTCTCAGGAACTCAGTGGTCTGACACTTGAAGTTGTCCTGGACTTTCACTTCCAGCTTGTCTATGCGGCTCTGGGCACGTGTCAGCTCCTCCTGAAGGTGGGTGATGTGCTTGTCGCTTAGTTTCAGCTGGGCTGTGAAGGCATTGCTTAAGGAACAGGTTATTTTGGTTAGTTCCATGTGGTTGTGGTTCTGGCTTGAATCACGTGTCAGGAATCTTCTCAGAATTAT